TGATGCTACCAAAAAAAAAAAAAAGCAGTAATACAACGAAAGTGTACATTTGTAATGAAAATAAACTCCCCCGATGACCCTCGGTTCTTGAGTGGTTGGTGGCGATATAATGCTACCAGAGCGTTGAAACGGCACTATACTTGTGCTCTTATCCTCGAGCCTCTGGAAGCAACGTTACCTCACAGGTACCCAAAACGTACCTCGGCAGCTATGCTGAAAAAAACCAAACATAAGGAAATACCATAAATAAATACCTATGCGCTCTTATTAGTATATTCCATGGTATAACAAAGCATCGGACTGGACAAATAAATTGGCACGAAGTAAATTACACACGCGTCACGCGGTGTACTTCCGTCGCTGCAAAACGAGGTATAGTGGCCCAGCCATCAGCCAAAAGAATAAATTGCTTTGGTATTGTATACGTATATATATATATATATATATAGCTCGAGAAAGTTAGAGTTGGAGGATCCTGCATCGAATCTAGTCTTCGGAGGTATCGATTTATCGCGTGTTCGTGGTGGTGTGTTACATATATATAGTGGATTTACGAGTGACGTTGACGAGGGTTGGGTACATCTAAGTATACCATACATGTGGGCATGATACAAGCCACTGGCGAACATGGGGCAGGTTTTCCCGGTTCCGACTGAAGGAGTATAACTGACAGCTAAACTTCGACTTGCCGGACGGAAGAGGAGAGGCGAGTTTGGCTATTGGATTGCTAAAGTGACGCTTCACTGGCTCAACTGCCTTGTTCCCAGTTACAGTGTTACGGGTGTACCGTTAAATTGTCGGTTGCATCGAGGTAATTTAAAAAAAAAAATTTAATCCTCGTAAAGCGCGTTCGATCGCTCGTACTTGACTCGTTAGTTTGGCTTGCAAAGTTTTTCAAAGTTCTTCCCCCGAGAGTCGCCATCCATGTATTCGTACAAGTGGAGTTCTCGAGGAGACGATGACGCGCGAGGGGATAATATAAGTATTACTTTCCAGAATAGTTTCGAGCTGGGGATGAATTATGGGTCACGCAGCACTGCGGATTCTCGAGCGAAACTTTCAACGTAACAATATACTAACCGTTGAATGTCTCGGTGCGATGAAGGAGAGTCTTGTTTTGGTTTATTTTGTTGTTCCGTGTGGGTTGAAAATGTGGTAATAATATCTCGACTGGAATCTGGAATGTGGTTCTGAGAAAAATAAATGAAAACAAAAAACCATCCAATTGATTTTGAATGGTAATAGTACGTTGTTTTAGTTACGCTTTGGACGAATAAAAGGCCATTATATTTGTAGGCACGTAGCCATACTTTCTATTACAACTAAAAACTACTGGAATACAAATTATACAACATGATTATTATTAACATGTGCCTCAAAAACACCCTTGCGTAGCTTCGGAAAACAACCACGCAACAGCAGCACCCACTGGGTTCCGCATGCCAACAAACTTCGATACTTTTTTGCTGTTTTCACTCCCATATGCCACCCGAAGAAGCATAATAGAGTTAACAATAAAGTTAACTTGTATAATATGTACATAGCAAAATTTGTGTTACAGAAATCTTGAATTACTGTCAAATATATACGTAAATTGATCAGTCTAAAAAAGACAATTAAGAAAAAAGGCTGTGAAGAGAAGCACAGTTACACTAAGAATGGAGCATTAGATCTCGCTAAATAAAAAATATATTTATTGCAGAGAAGTACATAAAAAAAAAAAAAAAAAAAAAAAAAAAAAAGTACTTGTCATTGTTGTCGTTCCTCGCTCAAGTTCGGTCGATAGTATCTGACGTCCCATTAACTCGCCGTATGGGTATAAGCAACTGTACCCATGTTTGAACAACTAACTTTCTCAAGAACAAAAGTAGGGTTGATATTTAAATTCGTAACCATAACAATACGTACATGAAACCCATAGATATCGAGGTATTGGTGGGTGTCCGTAAGTTGCGTTGTTTTTGTTACAAACTGTATTTGCCACGCACCTACTGCGTGTAACTCGCGAATCGAGGTCAGGGAGTTCACGTTACATTATTGCGTTTCAGTTAATGAGCACAACCAAACAAGCCGACCAGGCGATAAATCGATACCTACCGGCTTGTTATTGTTTGCACAAGCGTATTTCCGATCGCGTTGTCGTACTTTTACGACACGCCACATGGACACAATCCTCGATTTTTCAAAATTTGTGATCAATAAAATGATTGTCAGGGCTATTTTACAGGAGTCAACCAAATGGTCCACAACAGTTTTTTTTTTATATTTGTTGGCAGAGGAGCAACATTTCTAAATATTTGCCGTCGAAACGGAGCCTAAAGAAGATATCGTTTGACATATCACGATATTAAATCCGTTAAGATATTTTACGTCCTTTCCCTTTAGTACTTCCCGTTACTCCCGTTACTTCCCCCATAGTATGAACCTTACTTTTCATTTCATTTTATTTATTTATTTTTTTTTTNAGCATAATAGAGTTAACAATAAAGTTAACTTGTATAATATGTACATAGCAAAATTTGTGTTACAGAAATCTTGAATTACTGTCAAATATATACGTAAATTGATCAGTCTAAAAAAGACAATTAAGAAAAAAGGCTGTGAAGAGAAGCACAGTTACACTAAGAATGGAGCATTAGATCTCGCTAAATAAAAAATATATTTATTGCAGAGAAGTAAATTTTAAGTGTTATAAATAAACAAAGAACCCAACCTTATTCTCTGATTTTGTGAGATCCAATGCTCCATTCTTAGGAGACTTCGTGTGACTGTACTTCTTTTTTAGGCCTTTTTTCAACTGATTAATTTACGTACATATTTGATAGTAATTAAAGATTTCTGTAACACAAATTTTGCTATGTACATATTATATAAGTTAACTATTGATTTAAACTATAAAGTTTAAAGGCTGTATGAGTTAATCGTAAAAGGTCTAAAGTATTGTAATTATGTAATTATGATCGATATTTCAAGCCATATAAGATAAGTAGAATATTTATACTTTTAGAGGTCAATTTTTGGGTAAAAGATAAATTGTAAACTTGCCGCAAGCAGCACAGATAATGTTAACTTTTTATTATCTATCTATAACTTTAGTTGCGGCTGGTTTATAGTTGACAATATGACTCTAGTGTAAATAGCAGTAATTAGTTAGATCAGCGCCATCTAGCGGTCTTCATTTTTTAGCGAAAAATGGCCTCTAAAATTCTCAATCAGAGCAATCAGGATTAGAGCCATTTAGTCAATAATAAACCAGCCGCAACTTATTTTGTAGGCTATAAAATGAAAAAATAACGATACATGTGTTTTTGGCGGCAAGTTAACAATCTATTTTTTATTAAAAAATTGACCTCCTATGTATTTATACTTTTTGAGATAAAATTTTGACAGAAGATAGATTTTTAACTTGACGCCAAAAACACATGTATAGTTATTTTTTTATTTTATAGCTTCATAATTAGTTACGGCTGGTTTATAATTAATTAAATAGCTCTAAACGCTAAAGCTCTGGTTGAAAAGTTTAGGGCCACATTTTAGTTCAAAAATCCGCAACGCTAGATGGCGCTGATCCAAATAATTATTACTGTTTACACGTTAATGGTAGAGCCTTGTAATCAATTATAAACCAGCCGCAACTAACCTCATTGGTAATAATTGACAGTATAAAGTAAATAAATTGATTTTCCGTGCTGTTTACGGCAAATTTACAGTTTCTTTTTTATCTAAAAATGTCACTGCAGTCATCCACAGACCGCTTAAACTGACGCCATCTCGCGTGTTTTATTTAAAGCTGCTAGCTGCCGCAACTTTCTACCTTACCTGCATCCAGAAACGAAAACTCGAATGGAAGTATACTTATCATCGTTTGCTCCCTCAGAGCCATCGTAAGTACCGACAACCTTGTCCATCACCAAACTACCGCAGGCAGTTTCGAAGCAAGAATAAGTGTCAAAGTCAGGATCGGCAGGAAGGTAAAAATGTAAGTTCTTGTGTAATTTCTACTTATAAGAGTCCGCCTAGAACAACCTTTTCGCGAAAGTCGATCCTCCGCGTATCAGCGTGCGCGCGCTTTCTACCTCTCTCTTTTCCGCACATTGCACAAAAGCGAAAGACAGACGAAGAGAGATCAGGCAAAAGGAGTCAGACTGAAAAAAAAAAAAAAACGTCCTTTCGGCAGTAAAAGAGAGAGAATGGGATAGACGGAAGGAGAGAGGAGGCGAATTCGAATGGTACATGTATGTATATAATCCCAGCGGTAGAGGTGTCGCGGCTCGCGCTCGCGTGCTGATCGGCCAGCACACGGCGATTTCGTATGGGTTGTATACCTTACTCAAGTATCCCATGAACTTGCGGTAGAGGTTCCCCGATGGCAGACCATGTCGGTGCGGTTGTTGGAAAAAGTTGTTATTTTTTTTTTTTCTTTTTCGGAAAAAGTGTGGTGTTTCTCTTTCAAGAGCGTGTGTAACTGTGAGTGATGGCTGAAGCCATGGAGACGATACCGATGTGCGAGGAGGAGGATCATTCAGTAGCAGTGCAGAATCAACAACAGCCTGACCTGCTGCTCCTAACCGATCTTACCAAGGCAGCAAGTATGTATAATGTGCAAGGCTCTCTGTCGCGCTTGGCTGCGCGTGCGCGAGCCAATATCTCTAATCTCTCTCACAGGAGCAACAAGTGCCTCCTTTACTTACCAGGAATCGCTCTTATTTTTCTCTATTTTTTTATTTTTTTATTTTTTTTTTTTTTTATCACTTATACTTACTTACCTACATACTCCTCTTGCTTCATAAGTAAACTCCTCTCGTATTTTATCTTGCTCTCCAATACGCTTGCTTTTCATGCCGAGAATATAGGACTCCTGATAGTCCTTACATATGTTATGTATTTTTCGTTCTTTTTAACAAGTATATAATATGCGCTCGAGCGTGTTAGCTTCAACAACGTGTACTTACCTAAGCATTACAGACACGCCGGCGATCGGCTGTACGCGGTACCGATTTCTTTCGGAAAATGCTTTCTTACACGATCGATGCAGGTACTTATTCCGCAGTGTAATATTTTTCTCATTTTTTCTCAAGATAATGTATGTTAACGCTCGGCTGAACTTGTAGGTTATACCTACATCGTGTGCCGTTTTCGCCCGAGGCACCTGTGTATAAGTAAAAATCGAGTTGGCCGCAGAAAAGTGTGTTTTTGGCGTGAGTCAGAAAATTATGCCGGAGGAGGAGACCCAATAGAATACATTAAGTATATTTCGTGTCCTATTCGGCGTTTCTACTCTGATTACGGTAAACTCTCCCTTTGGACAAAATTAAGTAATTAATAAAACATAATATCATTTGCTACGTGTATGTCGCTTCGTACACCTGAAAAAATTCCGGGATATTTCCTAACTGTTTATCAAAAATAAGATAGCGAATAAGATAAGTATTAGGAAATCGTGCAACAATCAACAACAGTTCCCTGACCGCAGATAAAGAATCGCTAGTAGATAGGCCACTTTGCTCAAGTATGCTATGGCTAAATACACTTTTCCTCAATAAACACTTCAGATATACTTTCCATTGTTTTTTTTTTTAACCTTTGGAAAAAAAAAGCCAAGAGACCGGTTGCGAAACACACATTTGCATACTCCACCATCTGCAACTTTCTCCGTGGGCGCACGTGTCTGCATGTTACAAATAGTTTTACCTAAAATATAAATGTATATACGAGAAAAATGACTTGTGTGCGAGTTACCAATATATAATGCCTCACCAGGGGATTTATCGATATCTCTATGCGATTAAATATATGGTATATATTTTTTCAACGCTGTATACAACAGTAATCGAAGCCTTTAAAACCAAAGCGACGTTCTTTTTGTTTTTACTTCTCTGCTATCGATATAGAGTGATCTTAAAAATGTTTTACTCGAGGCGCATATTTTACGTGGGATTAATAACAGGATCGGGTGAAAAGTCACTCGTTTTTATGATGATAGTTCTCGCTTCGATATATTATGCGACGTTTCGTCTCTCATTTAGTTATAAATTTTCAAGGGACAATTAACCACCTCTTCCGCTAATTGTATGCTACAATGCAGATATCGTCTTTAAAAACTTGTTTAGATCCACATCTGTTTAATGGTGCCATATTGCAATTGGTACCTACTACTTCTTACCTACAAGTATATGAATACACACATGAATTATTTCCTGTATGATTACACCTTAGTTGCGAAAGCTTATACTTTGCATTCTTTGATACCGTCTTACGATTTGTTTGTGATGGCGTTTGCAAATAACTAAATAGTCAATAATTGAACAATACCAAATTATCTGGATGATTATTTATTTACAAACAACAACTGTCAAATTTGACATTTTCTGTATGTACCAGCTAGCAACGCGTTCAATGGTTCTGCAAAACTGCAATAGATGCCGCTGAGTGTATCTCGAATCAATGCGGTACATCCCCATATGCAATATATATAAATATCAGTTCCGATTTTCTCTAAAATTGAACTGTTGTTTCTCGTGTGTCAAGTATAGACAAGCGTAAAATTTTCGCATAAAGAATTGGGAAAATCGAGTTTCCAAACATAGGCAGAGTTGTCAAGTTAATCTCGTATAATAACTGTAGTCCTGTCAGCAGCGCAACAACTTTTCTAAGTACATATCATCATAAGTCAACAAAACCAAATGGTAAATGGCTAAAGTTTACATGTGTACGTGAACAAATCAATTGGTTTCCCATGTGTTGTGGGAACACAAAGTTTACCGTGGTGCAAGGTGACCCAGAGAGAGAAAGAGTGTCCGTGCAAACTGACAGTCGACTAGGTTATGTTGATCCCGAGCAGCTGAAAAATGGGCGAGTGTCCCTTTAACGTCGAGGAAAGCGATTTCTCGGCTCTGTCGCCGCTACTCGCCAGTACTGTTGGACAGCTCAGCGAAGATGCCGACAAGTTCGACCACATAATGGCCTTTTTCATCGCTCTCATGGCCCAGAACGCATATCGACCCACCTGCCTGTACGACACTGATACCAAGTACGGTTTGTATATATTTTTTTTACATTACAAGTTTACTTGACTCACAGCCCACCTAATTGTCAGATGCAACGTTGTTATTTACGTACATCACTGTCTGATGTATCGGTGTTTTTCTCGGTAGCAAATGGGCCAAAACACTGACGTGCATTCCACCCGACTGGAAGCGTCCGGGTACAAACATCTACTATATCGCTTTTCGGCTGTCGGTTCCAAAGGATTGCGGAGTCATCTGTCAGTTGGTCGGTATCCCAACAGGTGACTGGATGGTCCTCAACTTATTGCCGAAAGGCGCGAGCCGAGCTTGCAAAACGCGCTCGACTACCGTCAACGTCGCCAAGTACGTCAATTTGCACCAGAAGTTGCTCGGCAAGTTTTGGCATCTCAAGGAGCTGGCATACAAGTGCGTATTTTATTTAAATGAATTTACAGGTCCTTGGGATTGCTAATTTTTTTTAAAATTATCAACATGTCTGTTGCAGATTTAAAAATGAATTGTTTGTCCCGGTGCACTCGCACATGTTGTTGGAGGTGGGTATTGCGTCGCCGTGTTTGCAGGGAATACCCGAAGAAGCGAGAGACATGATTTTCGAGTACTTGGACTCGTGGAGCCTTTGGAGCGCGAAAAAGGCGTTGGAAACGGGGCGTCCAACGAGATGAAATTGTTGATCGTGAATCGTATGAATATAAAAGAGCAAACGGCAATTTTCGGCTGATAGAGCATTACTTAGTGTTTATTAAAATACTTGGATACAGTCATCTTTTTCTGTATAAAAGCAAGTTGCTCTGTTTATATTATGATTTTGAGCAATAGTATGTACAATACGAAATGTTACTTGAATGAACTTCATCTTCATTCATACTAAAAATTCTCATAAAATGATTAAAATATTTATCATGCGTCTTCTGAACGGTCTAACGTGTAAATAAAAAAACTACGTTATCTATATATATATTATAATTTAAGTAGTCTATAAGACAGTCTTTTTCTAAGAACTAACTGTTTTTACCTGTAAGATTGACTCGTACTTTTTTAATAAAAAAATAGTAAGGGGTAAAACCTAGAAAACGTCTTCTATTTTAATTCCATCTCCCTCCATTAGAAAAAAAAATCGCAATTGTAAGAATAAAAAACTAAAAACATTGATTTTACAGGTAGCACAGAGGATTCCTCCAAAGATGCGAGAGATGACGACAATACATTGGATGAACTGGACAAGTCACTGAACAACGGCGATATTGGTAAGTTGCTAATTAAAGTTTTCTCAATGGTTTGATTTTATTCACTTTTATGTTTTACAACGTACACAAATACCTGAAACAAAAAACCCATTCATCCCCCCATAGACGCGTACACTCAAAATAGAGACTAAAAAGCGTCGACACCGCACAAGCGAGTTCAAGAGGCAATTAATAAAGCTGAAACGCACGAGCGTGTAAATTAAATCCTCGACCCCTAGCTACATGTGCGTAAGGCGCGTTTTTGTCTCTACATTCGCGCACCAAAATGATTTTTCGACCGCGACCTTGATCCAGACCCAGAAAATTCGCGTATCCCCGGCTAGACCATCTCTCTTCCCTCCGCTTCTGATCCCTTTCGCAAGCGCTAAGTATAAGCTGACTAGGACAAACGGGGCCGCTACACTAGAGATACGATTGGACTCTCTGTTGTGGACACATGCACGAACTAAGCTTCTTTTTTGAGCTTCAGAGCAGTACCTTTTTGCTTTTTTTTTCTCCCAATCGACGAGTGACCCGTGTTGAACGAAACTCTATTTTCGACGTGAATTACTTTTCGAGTAATTTAAAAAAAAGCTTGAAGGTTTTAATTGCTGCTTATGGGTGTCGAAACGAGCTTTTTGAAGCACCACATGTGCCAAATTTTTAGTGTTTGCAATTGAAAAAAAAAAAAAAAAAATTTGTTGGAAAAAAATAGAACTCGAGGTTTCAAGTGCCACTACATACGGCAATAGATTTTTTTTTTCCACCTCTTGGTGGAGTAGATTTGATTTACCTACAAACTTCGTATACGCAAACAAAAATGTGCACGGCGAGGTGAAATGAAAATATAAAAAACGTACCACTATATTACGTGGCTCACGGCAAATTCAAATCAAATTCGCGTGCTCCGACGAGGAATAAAAAAAAGGCAGCGCATCACTTGCGAGTCGGCATCAAAAAGCTAATTTTCCTTTCAAATCCCAGAAATAGTATATAAACAAATAAAAAAAACTACAGACCCACGCGCGCAAAGCTCGTAGATTAGCTTCAAAGGATTTCCCGTGCAATGATTGATCACCGTCGCAACCATCGCGGGTTGTACAATACAGTGAGCTAATCTCCCGTATAGGATGCAAGCCCCCCCCCCCTATGTCTCTCGTAGCTTTTTGTTTCCTCCGTTTCCGCTCTTTGGGATCTTCCGTTTCGATGTATAGACCGCTCCCCTCTGCCGCTCGGCTAACTGGGTCATTCAAATCTCTCCGCTTCGTAATGGAACTACCGAAATTTCCAATTTTATGGCGCAAACGCGCTTCTCCCCCACATCGAGTATGGCGTTTTTTTTTGTTTTTTTTTTCATCCAAGTCAGAATTTTGACTTTCAGTGCAGCCCACGCGCACCAAATTACGTTCCAGGAAATAATTCCACATTGCGTCCGTAATTTCATGGACTGCGTTCGAGGAAGCTGCTTGTCAATTTTAAGAGACTGAAAGGGGAAAAAACACACACACCTGCGAGAAGAGAGCTTGCGGAGGTCCAATTAGGAGCTCTATTTTTTGCCGAGCCCAGCTCGAGCGGCCAAAGGTCAGGAGATCACTCGAGAAAAGTGCAAACGGTGATACGCCCGTATATATACGTTCTTTGGTTAAACTCGTTGAAAATTAAACGAACGCAAATCATCAAATGCAATAAACGTCAAGTATATAAACGAGAGCTCGATCAAGCGCTTCCGTCCAATTAACTGAATTAACAGTTCCGGTATCTTGTATTTTCCATCAGGATTGCAGCTCGGCTTTCACCTTCGAGTATACCCAAAGCTTTCGCTGTAGAGCTTCAAACGCATCGGCGAAGCGAAGCGAGAAGTAATAATAAGGAAATAATAAGCTCGAGCTCGCAAGTTTTACTCCCCGAGGTGGGGGTCACCCCACGCACACCACTGCGTCCCGGTCAAAGGTCCTGCTCTCGGCACACGCACGCAGACAGACACACTGCCCTCTCTTAGGGCGCGCTTGCGCCCCGCCTCGCATCCCTCGAGCGCGCGCTTTTCTTCCCGAGAGGGAGGGGCACGCGGTGAAAGCTCAGGAGGATGTTTCAGCGCGCGGCAGAGCGCCCCCGCAGTGTTGTGTAAACGACGCTGGCGGTAGTGCTTTGTGCACGCGCGGGTGTTTATACGCGCGCGAGAGGACAATATTGTCCTCATGCTGTCGTCCTCTCCGAGGACACGAGTGAGCTTTTTTTTTCTTTTTCTTTTTTCTCTCTCTCTCTCTCTCTCCGCGACGTAAGGACGCGTCAATGAGAGGTGGAGTGACGACCCGATAAAGTGAGTTGGTCCACGTACGACTAGTGCCGATCGGGAGTACGATCTCCCCCCGCAGTGGTGCAAGCGCTCGGAGAACTGTTTTTGCAATATTCGTGATACGCATCATCCGCCGGAAGTTTTTTCTTTTTCTTTTTTTTTTTNGCCCACACGTGTGTGTGTGTATGTATGTTTTTCCCTCTTGCTCCTTCGTAAATTGCCTTTTTATTTATCTTCCAGCACAATACGTGGCTTTTGTTCAGCCGTAGCTTTTATTGATAAGACGATGCGCCGTTGAATGGAAGCGATCTTTTTTTTTCTTTTTTCTTTTTCTTTTTTTTTTTTTTTTTTTTTTTTTTTTTTCTGCAAGTATTGATCGAACTTTCGAAGGGTATACGCCAGCAACTCGAGTGCGCGAAAACCTTATTATCCTACCTAATGATCGAGAAGCTGATTCGGCGATTATTTGTGGGGCAAATGTGTGTATCTAACTCGACACATCGGAACAAGGTTGATGCAAAGATTAGTCGAGAGTTTGGAGGCGAGTTTAGCACTGTACGGTGTATGTAGCCGAGGTGCCCGAAAATACATATATATAATACAACAGGACGACGAGCCGCTCTAATTGTGATGTGGATCGCGGTGGTGGTGCGAATAACTCTATTTTTAGCTCTTACCCTCTGTGCTGCAAAGTGTTGATTTATTTTTAAAATTGGACACGGGTTGGGCGTAGGTATAATTATACAGTGCGCCTAGCAATTTGTTGATAAAATTAGCACGCGATCGCGAGGGCAAATGCAGAGGTGATCGATAATTAGCGCTGGATTTTCGACGACGTTGCGATATTAACCTGGTTATAATTGAAGGGTATCGATGTTGCTCGGAGCCGTCGTTGTTATCATCATGGTCGTCGTGTGCCTTTATTCTTTGCCAATGTCACGTTTAGTTGGGGCTTTGAAAATTTTGTAATTAATTAAACGTGTTGGGTTCGATAGTAGAGACTACAGAATATGATTGGATATTCATAATTTTTATAAAAAAAGTATATATTTATGATAAATAGATAAAATGACGAAACTAAGATTTTTTTAAGCCATTCGTTTCTTAAGTTTGCAGGATAAAAACAACATTGAAAGCGTTTCAAAGTACGGAATTTTCTCATCGTCTTGTGGAAGGCGAGGGGTCCTCTAATTGGGTAAAAAGTGCGGCTGGCAAGTTTGCTTTAGAGAAATGCTTATTATGCGTTTGTCAGTTCTCGTTATAAACACGCCATTGCTCTCAAAGAGCTTTTAAAGCCGGAGATATCGTACGGAAGGTCAAGCTTTTTTTTATTTACCCGCCGAGGCAGAATAAAGCTTATAAACTCGATATTCGTGAAAAATGAGCTTAAAGAAATTAAAAAATTTTATACGTTTACGTCAATTTTTGCGAATAAATATTGAAAGTAATGCGTATGGTTCATCAACTATTTTCCCATTACTCCTAAACCAAACTATTTGTAATCCTCTAGTATTGCTGCAAAAAAAAATATTGTTTATTTTAAATTGTAATTGATGATTTATTGCTTTTTGTTTTATTTTTATTATCTTATTAAATAGTTATTAACATTGCTCTGATAATTCTCTAGAAATTATCTCCCACAATTATCTAGAAATATTACATGGATTTATACTGTATAGTGTAAGGTTTGAATAATTTAACAATTGATACCACTCATTCCACTTCCAATGATTTATAAAACATGCTCTAATTTATTTATTTATTTTTTTTTTACGATTTTCATCTCAAAAATGAATTTACATCTAATCTTCGAGTATACACTTACATTACGCTATTCGTGTTAACACTTATTTCGTCCTTTACCTCAACACCGATATTTCTTTTATACATGAGACAATCATAACGAGCGGGAACACACATGGAACAAAGATGAGCTCTATGGTCACGCTATCTAAATCATCTTTGTTGTTGTTTTTGTTGTTGTTGTTGTATACATGCAAAGCCGTCCGTTTATACAAATACGAGTCAAGCGAATATCTCGGGAGTTTTCTTTTCCGCGTATCTCGAAATCAATCGCACGACAAAGCTAGACAGTATCTCTGGAATCACGTTATCGTATTGTCGCGAATCTGTTTTTTTTCTCTCTTTATCTACTAATTTGATAAGACTCCAGATACGGCTGATAGTAAGAAATACCATCGGATATAAGTTACCATTAAATGAACGTGTGCCAAAGAAAACAATAATAAAACTTTTCTTCATCGATACTATTGTACCATATCACATTACGTGCACATTTGCATATCCTTGAACTTACATGTATACAGTAGTTCAAGACGTAGATTATCACTTGATCCTCTTATGTTTCTACCATTACGTATACATCTCAAACGCTGTACGACTGACATAATAAGTCAACCCAACGAAACGCTCTTCTTTATCATCTATGCCATTGTGTTTTCGCACTTTAGTTTTTAGTACAACACGTAACGACGACGCGCTGACACGAAAGGAGAACGCACCATTTATACGAGACACCTGCCCATTTGCGCATACAACCTACTAGCGTGAAGAAAAAAAAAAAAAAAAAAAGGAGGAAAAAAAACTAGAATTGAGGCCAACACACACACACAGTATAGCCCTCGTAATATTCTCTCACCTACTGTCGAGCGTACATAATATAAAGTCGCGTTAACAGCCGCATAAACAGAGCCGCGTGTGTGCACGGCAGCTTCCTGATGGGCCTCGCACTTGTGCTCGCGCAGTTACGTATACATATATATATATTTGTAAGTACTCATACGTAAGTGCGTCTGGGTGAATGTGCGATTCACGGACGCGTTTAAAAAAAAGTGTCGAGCGACGAGCGCCTGGAATTTTGATTAGACGAGCAAATGACTGCGTTTACGGGACGTAATGTATCGTTATTGTTTGGATACTCCATGTTTTTTTTTTTCAACTTCATTCCCTTTCATGAAATGGGGAATTTTTTTTCTTTCAATGTTCGTGAAATTTATTCGCCTTTTAATTGTTGTTGTTTTTTTAATTTCAAGTAATCTCGATTTTAGCAAAATTATCGCACCGAAATTCACTACTTACACTGTGCATTATTTTTTACGTAAATTTTCCAATTTCCAACTTTGATAAAGATCGACGTGTAAATTTCGATAAATACGACCGCATCTATACTGAAAATTGATGCGATTTCACAACTTTGATCAAAAAACGAGAATTATCGAGCCTAAAAATTATTTACTCCCGTACGGAAAGAGTATGTACGGCGATAAAATGGCAATCGGTTAAAAGTAATCGATTTCGATTCGTCCGCGCCTCCCCTTCGGTCACACTGCAATCCAAAAAAATAGCCAATATCCATGGACGTTCGCATGTATTTTCCCCATGTCGCTCGTTCACGTGCGGTCACCATTTGGATACGTGTGTATATTCAGCCCTGGCATGTATATGGGCACACACACACACCAACGACTCTTTTTTTAATACGTATGCGTGCACGGCTTTGTTTTCCGATCCATTTATTGGGCCCGGGCCGATCAATCAACTATCACGCAGCGTGTGCAGTGTATAAGTGCATATAGGTGATGTGTAGCGCGATGCAGCGCGAAAAGCGCCCGATTTTTTTTCACTTGCTCGTGGTGAAAGGGGTATTTTTCAGTATTCAGTGCGTTTACGTGAGTATGGACAGCTTGTACCTTCATCGGTAATTTTTCATGTATAAGTGTTATCACCTTTCACCGAACCGAAAAACATATACCCATGAAAAATATAATTTTTTCAATTGCAGCGTAACTACACAATGGCATTTGTTTGACACTGACGTAGTTTTGAAACGAATATCATTAAAGTGATTAAGCCATTAAATATTATTTACACAACTTTGGCCCGTGTCGTTTATCGGTAATTACCATCGTGATTCCTGTATATAATTATACGCTAGTATAGGTATATCCAGCTCAGGGTGTAATTCAGTTAACGCGTTGCGAACTACCGACAGCCTCCTCTTTTGCAGATGTATGTATAAACAGGCTTCTAAGTACTCGGCAGCGTCAAAGCTTGATAATGGCATTTACGGCGTGTAATATATACCTAATGTAACGGTGCACCGTAAGCATCGTAAAACTTACCCTATATGCATTTTTTTTTTCCTTTTCTTTCTTTTTTTTTTTTTAATCTGTTTGAAATCTGTTTATCTTAAGTAATTTTACAACAAGACGAGGAATATTTTTTATTTACGTGAAACGTACTTACTTTTTACTTTAGTTTATTATCACCAAACTCTCTAAAGCCCATCGAGTGAAAATTCGCTTCCTTGTAAGGATTTCGTTATTGAGAAAGAGTTGAAAGGGCGGCACTTAAGTTCGAGTAAAAACAGGCGTTTTTTCCACTCGATTTAACTTTGAGAGTAAACTCAATTGGCATTTTACTTCGATTCTTTTGGAAAAAAAAAAAAAAAGCATAATCCTTTAAATAGCCTCGATGATGATGATGATGATGATGATGAGCAACGACGCAGCAACACCGCGTTTTACCCCTTAAAATGTGAATACGTGTAAATGTATGTGTTGTTCGATACAGGTCGCCCTAGACCGTGCCAACGACGAAAACGCCCATTTTATGAGCTGAATTAAAAAAAAAAAAAAACAAAGAAAGAGAGATAAACAGAATGCCACCGCTGCCATAAAAAGGAGAACGAAGGATGATGAGAGAAAAACCATGACAGACACAATACACTATATGTAATAATTACAGCGTCACTCCTCGAATGAATCGGTAACGCAGACCCTCTGGTTCGGTATCTCGTTTCTCGGTCGATAAGACAGCAGTAGTGGCAAAAAGCTCGTGTACCCAAACACGAGGAGAGGAGGGAGGGAGGGAAAAAACGAGGTCGAGTTAATCGAGGGAGCTCTGGTGGTGGTGGCACCTCGGCGGGCTCTTAAGAGAGTTCGATCAGCGACGCGCGGCGACGAGGGAGAAATAAGCATCAGCGACGGGAGGAGTGGCAGCAGGAACAAAGTGCCGTTCGCCCCGAGTCTTCTCCCCGCGGTGAAGGGAGAAAGACAAAGACGACGGAGGAAAAACGGAAATCAGTCCTGTGGCAGTTCTACTCCGCAGGAATGCTCACGCACAGTCACAGCGACGGAGAGTTTCCAATTTACTCGCAAGGTAGGCCCACACGTGTGTGTGTGTATGTATGTTTTTCCCTCTTGCTCCTTCGTAAATTGCCTTTTTATTTATCTTCCAGCACAATACGTGGCTTTTGTTCAGCCGTAGCTTTTATTGATAAGACGATGCGCCGTTGAATGGAAGCGATCTTTTTTTTTCTTTTTTCTTTTTCTTTTTTTTTTTTTTTTACTCCAAGCAAAATAAAAGGAGCACTTGCTGGATCTTTTTTTTTCCTCTCGACTATAAAAATATCGATGAAACCTCGCGCACTGTTGACAGTTATTGTAAAAATGTCACTAATTTTATTTTCCCATCGAACGACACGAATCGCGTTTATTTCTGGTAAATATATGTACAACGATCGGAGATATACCGAGTCAAAGGGAGAATCTCTTGTAGTTAAAACGTTTTGGGTGATCGCCCCGCGGGGATTAAAACGAGCGCGGCCCGATTGCTCATTTTCCACCTGATTAATCCGACAATTTACGCACCTCGTTGTTACGCATGTTTACTACGAGGTAGCGCGTACCTAACGTACATTTGTGTTGAAAAATGCGGACTCTTGGCTTTTTTAATGGATAGGCGAGCCCTACCTCTTGAAACAAACCTCTATACTGCAGCCTCGATCGTACACTTTGTGTGTCCTATACTGCAGGTATACACACAGAGAGGTGCGCGTAAGTGTCCAGTTAACGCGACGAATTTTAATGAGAATGTGTTGTCTGCGCAATTGGCATGGTAAATATATGAAAAACACCGTGTCTCCCTTTCGCTCTTTGGCAAATATTTCACGGAATCCAATTTTCCGTGTCACTCGGCTGATTTCCTCTCAATGGGGAAACGAGTTATCATGGAACACCGGGACTTTGATTTCTCATAGGAGCTCACGAATACTCGAATGGTCTTGCAAAAAAGTACGATAGCTTGGTAGTTCAAAAGTATAATGTATTTTAATTTGCGGACCGGCTAACGTGTAGAAAAAGCAAAACAAAAAGATCCATAGCTTACTTACAGGGCAAGTGCAGCGATAGGGGGTCACAGGTGTGAGCTTCGAAAGCACTTCCTTCTCCTTGTCGGGCACTTTTTTCCTCGTAACAGTGTGAAATGGCTTTACTCGATCCCCAAAGTTTGCGAAGACACTGCGATTCCATGCCCTGACGGGCAGTTACGTTGTTAGACTAATGTGTGTGTGGCCAACTTTTTCTGTGTACGAGTAGCTCCTGGCACATCGCCAATAAGCCATTGTCATAAAATACGTACGTACAGATTTATGCTACTCTCGTGTTTACTCTTCCGCAACGAAATGATTCTCCAATTGTGTTTATACCCTTGAGTAGTAAAGGTATAAGCTCGACGCACGTGCAAATGTCCTCTCGAGTACCCCCTGAAGGGAGTAGTAATTTTTTCCTTTCTGTTTGCCCTCGTGTCTAAATGAGCTGGTTACAAGTAATGACCCACATTCCACTGGGTGCAGGAAAACAATGTGTTGTGTGGCATATGAAAAAATATATAACAAAGACTCGCTCTTAGATGCACCCACCGAGTGAACTGTAACTGTGATTACAACATGTATACCTCCCATGGGCTTCTCGGAAAGCTACATTTTCCTCGTCAAAATATTTACCTATACACACATTTGAGATCCAACACGACGAATAAATAATAACAACAATAATACTCTCGATTGGCCACTGCATGATGTTATACCCTCTCGTTTCCAAAAACCTTGCGGAGAACAGCCGCAACCCTGGGTCTCAGCACTTTGGTATACTTGTGAGCAGCTCTATCAACGGTCGTCTTCCGCAGCCAGCAGACCAACTCGTTGACCTCGCAAAACCTGTAGTGATGCGACAGTGCAGTATCGGGATCAACCGTCGTCTCTCCTGTGGTCGGTTGCTGGGTGTTAATTGGACAAACAATTTATCTTTCGTAACGAGACGAGATTAATTTTTACCAGCACGAAAGAGGAACGAAGTCTTTCTTGACCGCCAAATTTGATGATTGCCCATTTCGATCACGTTCTCACTTCTGGCTATGTACTTGCTGCGCGAGTGGGCTTCGTAAATTTCCTCGAAGCGCGTGGTCTTGGATTCCAACGTCAGTTTGGGCCAATCTGCAAAGCGAGAGACCCTTAGTTTTACATAGATCGATATACTTAGCTTAACGTATTGTTGTACCTGTTCGGTTGACAGCACCGGGATCGTCGTCGTACATCAAGTAAAAGAAGACGTTCCGAAAAACAAATGCCGCGCGACTGCTGAGGTCCGAGTTTGGGTCCAAATAGTCCATCATCTGGCGAAAGTTTTCCTGCTTTCTCGGTATGATAAACTCGTCCAAGTCCACGTTTACCACGTAAGTGAAGGTGTACATGTTTCTGTACAAGCAATCGTTCAGCGCAGCGAAAATCCCGTTGTACCTGTATATTCACACGAGACGTCTCATACCTGATTACAACGATCAATCCCCCTTGGGATGGTAAACTTTACATACTTAGCCGAGTTATGGCGCACTCAAACAATCAAACTGTTTTTGCATGTATATAGCTTTCATTGTCTGCCGGACTTTAAACTTTTTTAAAACCACCTCCGAAATCACTAAAAACTGATTAAACTTTTTAATAAATCTCAAACTGACAAACATTTTTCATGTGACCCACAAATTCTTTTTTATATATGAATTAAAAATTACTTTAAAAGTAGCGCTCTTTGTATTGGCTGGAATCTAAGTGCAGTCATACTTCGATAAGTATTACCAGGTATCAAAAAATATTCCCAAAAAGTATCGAAATATCAATGTTAACAAGTTGTTATTGATGTTGTTGTTTAAAAATCCAGTGTGACTATGTGAGCATCAAAAACATTCACGAGTTTATGAACGGATATGTATACGCCCGAGGCATTACATATCTATCTCAATGATTTGCCAGCATACGGTCAATGACGACGTCTAACCTGTACAATGTTACGAGTATTGGACGTCACTCAACACGCCAAGTCATATATACATATAATATTGTTCCAACAGATATAAAATGCTTTGGGCGTACATCTTTTGTTCATTACACTGACAACTTTAGTTGCGTTGCCTCATTATCAACTCGGCGGTCGTCGGTCGAGCCAACGGTAAAACCAACGAACCTCAAATTCCTCTCGAACTTGTAAACACCCGGCAACTTCCACTGTACAACGCTCGCCAAATTCTTCCTCGCGTACCACTCGAGCACCCGACTGACCCTCGGCGAGACCGAAGCGTTGTAGAAAGTGAAGCGGTCCACGCCCATGGACCGGTAAAACTCGACAAACTCGACGAGGCCCGCGTGATTCGCGTAGCCGTGATGCAAACTCGGCACGCACGCTGCCATGAAGCTCGGGCGCGTGACTGGCGGTGCCGTGTACCGGATGTCCACAAAGTCCCCCAGTTCCTCTGCCGATCTTCCTCGGTTGGACGAAAAGGTCACTTGGCTCGGTAAACTGCCGTCCGACGTGGTCACGAGCTCGCAGATCACAAAGGCGGCCGAGTACCGCATCCCAAAGTTCTCGATGCTGGCTATGAACCGTACCCCGATAGCTGGACGCTCCGAGATCGTGCTCCGATCGGTGTATTTGTAGTAGCATCGGAGACTCGGAATCTTGGTGTCGACATCGAGGATCCCGATGATTCGTATCTAGAGTGTTGTTATTCTGTCAATCTTTGGGTACAGTCCGAGAGACGATGTAATTTTACGCTCATCAAAACGTCTTGTGCCCCGTGTGTGCCAGTATTACCATTTTTACAGTTACGTGTTTACAATACCATGATGTTTTTTCTTACCAGTGCCCACGGGTGATCGAGACTGGACCAGAATGGAATTTCCTCGAGTGCAACTTCCGGTCTGGAGTCCAAGTAGGCGGAAAATATCGCTGCGCCCTGGACGTCCGGCAATCTCCACGTGTTGTTCGTTTTTTTTGCCATTTTTTCGATTTCCTTGCGCCAATTTTCTCGTAGCTCTTTCAGGTGGTGTACTTTGGCATGGAACTACATTGACATAAAAACAATTATACAATTACGCGCGATAACAAACACGAATAAGGACTTTTTTTCTTATTTGCTTACCTGCCAGCTCAATACAACAATTATTAGGGTAAGTAGCGGTATTGTGCAGAAAAAGAACTTCAACAAGTACTTTTTCATCGACCTCACATTATTTAGACTTCGGAGTAGGTGATACGAAGTCATTTCTGTACAGTTTTCCTCTTTTCACTGGCTGCCTCGTAACGGATGGCTAATCATTTTAAAATATAGTTCGAGCCTGACAATAGACGGCTGATAGCGCCGATACGGTTTATGGATGTGATTGTGTATAAGATAAAGTTTCACGGCTTAAGGTAGTTGGTGCGGTCACGTGGTTCTCAACACCTATATGATTTGACAGGTTATCGATCATTTTCACGGTAATCGTTGTTTACTAACATTATTTATGACTAAAACATCCTAAAAAACATATAAATAGTATATATCATAAGAAATTGTGTGAAATTTTGATAGCTTATGACTTGATACGGATAGTATACTACAGTATACTACAAGTATACTTGACTCTCGCACGTAGTAAGATTGTGCGTATGTCTCGGTCACTTTTTTCTAAACCTAATCTAATCTAATCTGGGGACGAGTTGCAATAAAATAGATTAGAGAGTACAGTGAAAAAATGACATACGTCTGATTGATTAGTACGTCATTTTTTGCTCTACTCTCATTTACTATACATGTGCATCTTGTTTGTTTCAATGCACTTATCCACTACCTTATCTGTACAAAATAATTTCTGTACCCTCATTTTATTAAATATTTTCTTTAAAATAAATTTAGTCAAAAAATAAAATCATTTATTTCTATAAGTTTGTTTGTTATTTGAAAAAAATGAAAATACTTATCAAATGAGGTCAAAAATTTTTCTCTTTTATTCAAAGAATTTGGTCGCTTGGTAATAAATTTCTCTAAAAACGATTGAATATTCTTTTTTTTTTTTTTTTTTTTTCTTTGGAACGGACTCTAAATAGAAAAAAAAATCTTTCATAACGAAAAGAAAATTTAACTCGTTAAAAACATTTGACTCGAAAAATTTAAATGCAAACGAACAATGTAGAGAATAGCGTTAGATATAAGTTGGCTTAAAAACTTTCTTAATGCCAGAGCCTTACGGATGCTTACTTAGCTGTTTTTTTTTTTTTTTTTTAAGTTGATGAATAGTTACGTGAAAGTTGTTTTTTGTTTCACAAATTCTATAAAAAGAATATATGCTCGTACAAGATAGAACTTTTGTTTGACAAGATTTTCACCAAAAAAATTTATCTGACTATAAATTTTAGGACTTTGTTTGAAAAGGATTAAAATGTCTGTAAAATAAATCAAACACGTTTTAAAAAAAGATGAATCGAAAGATAAAAATAACAATAAATCAGTTTTAATCTCAGACAAAGGCAACCACTTATTTATGATGCTTGTTCTCTCGGTTAGAATAACACTAAGCCGAGAAAGGAACTTACATATCAATAGAAAATTAAACAAGCAATTAGTTAAAATCATCCAAAACTGTTTCAAATATTGTGAAACGAGATGAATTATTAACAAGCAACAAAGGTAAAAATTATACTGCAAGAAATTAGTGTATAAGTACTATAAAAATAATCCAACATTTATTTTCAAAATAAACTTGTACAGTATATTAAATGTTAGAGAAAACAAAGAAAAAAAATGTTAACCGTACCAATCACGCTTGGAATATTACAGAAAAATGGTACAACTTTTTTCTATATCAAAACTGGAATTATAATCCTGTCGAATGTACGAAATACTCACGATTTGCGAGAGACAGAAGGTTGACGATTGACTGCGAATTAAGACGAGACGACTAATTTGAACGCTGACAAAATGTCCCCAAGAATCGTGTACTGAACAAAAATCTTATGCAGAAGATTTTCCGAAAGAAAAAGGAAACGAGCAGCGACAGCTTCGCGGGAGCATCCTGTTCTCTAGACAGTCAAGATGCGAGAGAAGGCTCAGCCGCTCTCATAGTTCATATTAGAATTCCCGAACCGATAAATTAAGTGGGGAGACAAACACAATCGTAACTCATGTTCGAAAGTGAAAATACAGAGAATAAGTTTCAATGGTTGTGTTCAATGGTTACAAATGTATGTGTCTCCCATGGGTGCACCAACCAATCAGTGCAGCCGGCGAGGCATCGCTTCCCGGGTAGGTCTTACCACTCAATCTTGTCAAACCTTCCGTTCACGCTTACATACTTTTATGTAAGTATATATGTATTAAAGAAAAATAGTATTTCTTCCATTCAGAGGGAGTTAAGAGCAAAATAAGATCATCCGGAGACAAAAGATGGTTTTATACCCTTTATTCAGGAGTCTCCTTTGTGCCGTTAAATCACTCAAAGAACTGATTTTTTAAATATTACCGAACAATGTATATAATAGTAAGTATGTTTTTATGAAAAGTAATAAAAAAAATCCGTTTCGTAAAATTGTTTACTTTTCATGTCCCGTTAATCAAGTCGATTTGATTTTAAAGCACATATTTTAAATTTACGTACCTTGTAGGTGAAAATAAAAACCCTCACGATAAGTCAGTCTTTGCTGTACAAAAAAACACCAATCATCAATCATACCAGCAAATCAATAGCTTTCAAGTACATTTTACTCAATAAAATTACCTCTTCTATTTAAACTATATACACAGAAACATCAAGTCATCTTCCCGTGAACAGTTTAACGTATATAGTATTGAAGCTCAAAAACACCCCCCGAAATGGTAACAAAGAGATATACCTTTTTACGAGGGTGCTATTGTCGGGCACGCGAGACTCAAAGTGCAATTTCGTCCAGTATATACAGCACACCCTCTTTGTCTTCTCTCCTTTTATTTTTTATTTTTTTATCTTCTCTTTCGCTGACGATAGCCGTACGGGTATATAGTTTTCTAAAGCCTAACCAGAAAGCCAGTGCAGAAGCCATTTCACCCCGCTCTTGGTTAGTCTTGTCTACTCGTAAAAGGAGAAGAAAGAGTCATGGTATACACTTTACGAGTTTGATATCGGTGATACAAAAAGTGCTCTTTCGCGTTGAAGCTCACCGTCTTATCCTAGATTTCTTGGGGGTGTTCAAGTAACGAATATTGTTTTGTTGACACACCGATTTTACTCTCGGGGTTGAATCCGCCAAGTGTAATGTTTTATACACCGAGACAGAAACATTCCTGAAAAAGTGAGAGTCGGCAAACAGACAAAAATAAATATATATATATTCGTCCCGTGCACCAACCGGCCACAACTGTCCGTCTTTATTTCCATATTTGCCCCGAGGATTATTCGGTCTCGTGGCTGACGAGTGAGATTCACTTTGCGCCGAGTGGCTTTACCAGGCGAGGGGACTACGGTGCCCGCAGGAAGTTCTGATAAGAGCCCCCTTGGCGTCCACCCGAGTTGGCGGAGGGAAAAAAAACAACCTATTTTCAGGATGTTGACTCGGCCCGCTCGGGTATCCAAAGGAATTCAACTTCTTCTCTTTTTTTTTCTCTCAACCCCTCGTTCCTATATAGTATACTGCCCTGCATGGGAAATTTTTATACATTTGTATTTTAAACGCCAGCCATGCCAGGTTTACTGGAGAAGGAGATCGCGTCATTGTTTTCTTGAAATATTTGTTGTGGTACTTTATCTGGATAAAGCGGTAAATTACAACTGAACTTTACCTGTACCTATACTATAGCACCAAAAATGACGCGTCAAATTGATTTCGGAGAGAAAAATGAAAAGCTCAGTGGGCCTTGACACATGAGACGAAAATATTATTCATCATTCACATGTACTCGTATGTAACTTCTTGACTCCGAGTTTAATTTTTTTACCTTACACGATTATATTGTATACGATGAAAAAAAAAAAAAAAAATTGACTGAGTATACAGGTACCAGTACGATAATTTTTTATCATCCTTGCTGCGAATTTTACAGGGTTTGAGTTTGAAGTGATAATATACAGTTCCATTGACTGAGGGTACTGTGCATATAGCCAGTAAAATCACAATTACATGTGCTGATTTAATGATTTCTTTTCTTTCCTTCTCTTAAAATATTGTACATTGAAAAAATTGTTGGCTCGATCGTATACAAACTTGATGAGTTTTCTCATAATCGCGAAGAATGTAAAAATATTTTTCGATTCCGCACAGCGCGCACATTGCGAAACGACAGTGTCAAAGTATAAATACAACAGCATCGTTGCACGGTAATTTTAACATTTCGCTCTAACGCGTTGCTTGGCCGATCGAGTGTGGCAAAAAACACACACACACACATAGGCACCGACTCACGTATCGGTGGTGCATTAATATAACGTATGTAAAAATGGTAATCTATCGAGTGAACGTATGTTATTTATGCACTCGCAACGTGTGTATTTTATTTTCGCCGAGTGTCGCACATACCATCGCGCTGTGGAATGGTCAGCGCGTGACGCATGCAGTTGTAAAGTGTTTTTGCGAAAATTGCTGGACTCGCTCGCTGCTGGAAATTGATGAATGCGTAGTGTTTGCAAGTCGATTCGTTGAAATTTTTGTTTTTTACAATACAAGCCGGATCAAAGTACATTTTGTACATGGTATAGGTATATAATGTGATAATGTATATTTCGAATGTAAATGCTCAATCTGTGGTATCGCGTTTCGCAATGTATATTTGCCAGAGAAATTCGAAACCTTCATTGCTGACTGGGCAATATTTACTGTTCATGGATCGAATAATAAACAATTTTACAAAATAGGCCAAATGGCACAAATGATAGCTGTACGAAACACCAGCTGAGAGGTGCAAGGACGGTATACCTCGTGACGCGTACTACCACCGCAGGGATATGAAACTTTTTCTTAATTGAAGAAAATTATTAAGTAAAACAGTATTTGCTATGCTTTTAAGGGATTTACCCTAACGATAATACAACATAATTTAACCCTGCAAGTGTGAATTTTATGTGCTTTTCATTTTTTTTACGAAATTTTTGATGAGTCAGCATTGGTTCCAATATAAAATTAATATGGCTTTGAATAAATTTCAAAATCATCAAAGTCCAATTTGTTACTTACCTCACTCTGGCAGAGACGTGACACGGCTATACTTTTGTAAAACATACACAATATTTTTTCCAAAGGAAGAATCAAACGCCACTGGACCTTCGTT